GCACCACCTTGCAGCCCAGAATCTAACTTCACAACTGAAATTTATTTTACCTTTAAGTCTGTGTGTTTAAAAAATCTAAATTGTTTTTCATCACATCAAGTTAGTCATTAGAGATTTTGTTGTCTCACAGCGGGATATGAGCAGCAGTGACGTGAATGTGAGTATTGATGCATTATAAGACGTGACCGCTCTGATCATTAGGGTAAGAACCAACGAGCAGCTGAGTAACAATAAAAACTAGTAAAGCACTCGGAGAGCACAGACCTCTGCCAAGCAGCTCATTTCCACCATATTGTGATTTCCAGCCAATGTTAAAGTTCTGCATTCATTTTATCTACACTGTAAGATTCATGGATACTCACAACATAGCTTTACCATTGAATTGACATTCAATTCAATAACAAGCTGACGGAGTGATGAACGGTCGTTCTGTACTCTCAAATATTTTGTACACTTACATTATTTCTGCAGTTACTTACTGGCTTAAACTGTTAGCTAACGCTATGCTAGGTTGGCATAAGTACAGTGATGCAATTGCTAACAAAAACAGACTGGGAGTAACTTAAGGTAGGCTAGCACAACTTTAGCAATGCAACAGAAATGACAAGCGTCACTGGTCATAACACACAGCAAATAGAGTTCAAGTGAAACAGGAGACATGTTGAGTTAATGTTAATGTCACAATGTCATTATAAACTTATCTGTCAGCAGCTCCGCTCAGCCCACTCCTGTAATATAGCCTGGCTGTAGCTGACTCCTGTACTACTGAGAAGACAGCGGTGAGGAATGAATGTGGTCAGAGCGCCATCTAGTGGACAAGCGGCGCAATGACAGCATTCTGCACAATTGTGACACTTCGTTTTTCTCAGTTGCTTTGGTACATTTCTCAGATCAGAATTGAAATTCTCTAAACTACTTCTTCAATCTTCGACATCCTGGTGTCACTTGTGCACATCAAAAAGGTGTTTTTTGTTTCACATTGACACAGGGACTTGTCATTCTGATGGCACTGACATGTTCATTGACACAGATATTTAGTTTTGAGAGATGAACCAAGGATTTTGAGCAAGTAACTGCCTTTTGCAGGTATCCATGGTGTTTTGCTATTTGTATGAATTGTTTTGAGAAATGCACTTACTGTTTTGCAAATGTCGAGAATGATTCGAGAAATGTACCAAAGCGACTGAGAAAAACTGCAACAGCTTTTACTGTTTTGTGAGAAAATAACCAGGTGGTAAGCCAGAACACCACCAACAAACAAACAAACAAACCAACAAGCAAACAAACAGATAAACACCGGCTAAAACATAACCTCCTTGGCGACGGTAATAAAAGTGTCGTATTGAAAATCTAAACAAACTATCAATGTTTTGCCTATGGGTGAACTTTTTCTCCTCAAATACTCCTGCGCTGCTTTGTTTGTGGTCAACAAAATAACCTAAATGCTAACTGTAGCGTGTTAGTCTATGCATAACAGATCATTAGTAACAACACTATACAATAAGTTTCAATTGTGTTAAACAAGATATACTACAACAGCATAATACAATTCCAGAAATTCAGTTATGATTTTTGGTGTGTGTGTGCCATCCTGTGCTTTTCAATGGCCCCATATAAACAATTTCTGGAAGTTCCCCTGCCCATCTCTCCATCTTCCTCTGGCTTAACTTCTGTTACTTTCTCCCACAAACCTCCAAACTACCGTAGCCTGTGGTCTCCAGTTTATAATCAATTATGTGTTATCTCATGAAAATAGCTGTTTTGTTGAAGAAGTCATTCAAAGTCTTGTCCCCAGGTTTGCTATAGTGTGATGATTTATTTATTGGACACAGAGAGGGGATCTGGGAAGCTACAACATTTATTACAGATGGTCTAAAGGTAGGGAGTGGGTGGTTTACTGGTGCTACACAAAGACAAAAGGAAAGGAGATTCAGGGGTCTGGCAGACAACAAAAGGGTGAATGATATCAAGCGGGAAAAGATGAGGGGCTAGGAGGCTATCTGACAACATTTGTTAATTTGTTTATATTACAGCAGCTACATGTGGGGTCCAACCCTAGATGTTTAGCAGCGCTGTAATTGGCCTTCAGAGGAACAAAGCAAATTCAGAGACGGATAAGACGAAGCTGAGTAACAATAATAAGCTGGATGAGCGTTTGTGTATCAGACAAAAAAAAAAAAACTACAGTTATATGGAATCTCATGTTTTTGTTGCAAAGATTTTTTAAAAATTCCACTCAGTACTAAGATCCACAAGTGACCAGAAGAAACAAATTAAATGTACCTGAGTTTCTTCATTGTGATCTGATAGGAAACACTGGGTGAAATATAATTTCCTAACAGAAAAGACAATATTTTGTCTCATGTTAGACCTTTTCATTTATTACTATTTTAGCAAAAGTGTATTCCAAATGCTGATTTTATGCACTGTGTACACACTAGATTTTTACAGAAATAAACACTTTAACTTTTAAGCTGGGTGTTCTGTTCATGTTGCACTTGAAACTTAAATCTAGTTGCTATATAACCTAGAGTGACGTTATTTACACAGGAAATGTGCACATAAGACAAAGCTTCTTGTCACTGTCTTTTCGCAGGCACAAATTCTGTGTCAGTTCTATTTTCCCTGAGCAACTGTGACCTAGAAGGTCATCTGCACTGATACCAGCGCAGAGCTTTCTGTCGACAAGGTTTAAGGCAACACCCAGTCGTGTTATCAGATTCCAGGCCTCAATCTGTGCAGAAACATAGTGACACAAGCCATTATTTATCTTTAAACATAGTCATTGTTTTGTTTATGTAAAGAAGCTGAATGGAGTAATTTTCTTAATGAACATATAAATTTTCACGAAGCAAGATCAATAAAGCTGGCTGTCTGTGCAAAACAGACACCACTGCACTAGCTCATCAGATTCCTTTACGACGCTTTTGATTTACAACAGTCATGTGGTAGCGTGGTTCCTTGTAAAGTAACTCAACCAGTGAAGTGCTTCTGAAAAGTGTAACTCTCCCCGTCGGGGAATTGAACCCCGGTCTCCCGCGTGACAGGCGGGGATACTCACCACTATACTAACGAGGAGCTGAGCCCAGCATGACACATGACCACAAACATAGTGACACGAGCCATTATTAATCTCTAAACATTGTCATTTTTTTGTTTATGTAAAGAAGCTAAATGGAATAATTTTCTCAATGAACATATGAATTGTCATGTAGTACCACAATCGATCACGTCCATGAGACTGTGCAAAGCCAAAGTCATGATCATGATTAATATAGAATTAGAATGCAGCCCTACAATATACTACGTCAGTGTAGGATTACGTATATCCCAACACATTGAATGTCAAATGCAGTATGCCAAAAATAAAAGGATGTCCTACTATATCTGGTTACATTTTGGATTGTGCAAACCAGCATATTTCTGGCCCCAACGACCCACAATCCTCTGCACAGTGAAGATACGTCACAATGTCCCAAGTGTAGGACAAACGAGCTTAAGCCACCTGAGAGTGCACAAAAAGATTCAGACTCCTTTTGCACTACAGACTGCTCAGTATTGATATATATGAGCAAATGGTCAAAGACTAAGGGTTAGTTATGACGAGGTAGCATGTCCCAGTTCTACGATAGTGGATGCAACAGTACGAGCTCTGTAAGGGCAGCTGTGTTACATAATCAGAGTAAAAAGTATGTGATCTGGATTGCAGGGTTGGTTTCAGATCTAAGGGTAGAATTAGGTTTAGATTAGTTTTATGTTTTATTAGAAACTTGAAGCCCACTGATATATAATCCAGAGTAAAGCTATTTACACTGGAAATGTGTGTATTCTCAGTCATTTGAATTAGAGAAGTCCTAGGAGCTTCAGTGAAAAGTAACTGAGAGATGTTTCACCTCTTATTCAAGTGCTTCTTCAGTTCAGAACAGCAAATCCAGTTACTTTTTACTAAAGCTCCTAAAATGTACACAGATTATGTACAAGACACAGATCAGACAAAGCTTTGTGTCACCATCTTTTTCTGGTTACAAATTCCATGTCAGTTCTTTTTCCCTGAGCAACTCTAACTTAGAAGGAGGTCATATACACTGACCGATATGGGTCAAGAGCCTTTTGTCAACTAGTAATCCGTTACCACATTTTATGCCTTTATTTGGGCCTGTCTCACAGAGCAAACTCAATCAAGCTGGCTGTCTGCAGTGGGCAAACACCTCTCAAATGAGCAGCACTAACCATTAACATTATTAAAAAGAAAAAAGCCCCATGAAGTGTTGAGCATACTTCACTTGCACTTCAACTTCCTTTCACAGGCCACTGATTAACGACAGACATGTGGTTTCACGGTTCTTTGTAAAGTTGCTCAACCAGTAAACTGCTTCAAAACATGTCAGTCTCCCCGTCGGGGAATTGAACCCCGGTCTCCCGCGTGACAGGCGGGGATACTCACCACTATACTAACGAGGAGATGAGCCACTAGTGTCACATGACCAAACACATAGTGAGTCAATGACACAGCTTCTTATTCAACAAAAGCACAGAGTAGGAAAGTGGGCATGGAAATAATGAAACCACCTTTTGTTTTCTTTACAGTCTATACAACAAACCTTCAACACTGATAATATGGGTTCAGTTTTTTTAAAAGTACAGTAATGATAGTATACCAATACAGTAGTATGATTAAATAATTAGAGCTTCTTGTAAAAGACATGAAAAAGTCATACAATAATTCAACACATGCAATATGAGGCAATGAAAGTGCAAAAAAAATCTCAAAGTTCCACAAGATGGCCAAAACCATTTTTTAAGCCACCACTGTCCTGAGCTGTAATGCCAACAGAAAATCCAAACTAAATTACCACTTAACAACACCAAAAAGAAGAGAAGTGTAAGATGCCAAGAGGACGGGCATCTTAGCGCTAAACATGGAGGCATAGAACAAGAAAGACAACCCTACCCGTCTTGAAATCAGCGTCATTTTCAAAGCTGCATAAGTAAACAAAACCTGAGTTGACTTTTCATTTTATTCCACATATAAGTCTGACTTTTTACAACTGTAATAATTAGCAGCAGTTATTTACACCACCATTAGTAAAATTCATAAAAATTGTGTTACCTGATGCTCGATAGCACAACATGGAATTTTCAAATCTGGATCATTCTGAACTTTTTGAGCAACTGGATTAAGAGGAATGTAAGTATTCCTACCAAAATATAAATGTTTCTATTCTGGATAACAGCAAGAATTTTACTACAATCAAGGATTTTGTTCGTAACTACCTGGTTGTCATATCATAAAAAGGTTAAAGCTTAAAACAAGTCTATTAAACTTCAAGGAGAGAACAGACAGGATTTAATGGCAGATTTTATGATGTGTGTCTTTCTCTGTAAGGTACTGCCCTCTAGTGGGTAACATTTTCAAAAGTCAAACAATAGAACAATGAGGAAATGAATGAATGAATGAAATACAATGAAGTTAAAAGATTAAGATAAAAATGACTGTGTGTGTGTTTACTTGACCAGCTATTTTTATGAAGTCTAGTTTGAGCTTGAGACCATCACAGTGAGGATGCTTTGGATAGTCCTCACTTTCTCAGACCCCTTCAAAGGACTGTTTGAGGATTAAGAGTTGGTTCTTGGCCCAAGGCTAGAATTCAGTTCAGGTTTAGGTTAATGCCGACCTAGAAGGAGGGTCATCTACACTGATCGATGTGGGTCAACAGCTTTTGTCAACAAGATTTAAGACAACACCTAATAGTGCTATCGGATTTCATGCCTTTAGCCAGGCCTGTCTCACAGAGCAAAATCAATAAAGCTCTGTAGAGGGTAAAAGCTAGAATCCTCCTGAGTCAGAATCATGAAACATAAACAGAGGAAGAGGCTCTAGTAAGTGTTGAGCATACTTCACTAGTACTTAAACATACTTTCACAGGCCTCTGATTTACAACAGACTTGTGGTTTCACGGCTCCTTGAAAACTTGTTCAACCAGTGATCCAGGAACCTTCTTCCAAAAGTGTTACTCTCCCCGTCGGGGAATTGAACCCCGGTCTCCCGCGTGACAGGCGGGGATACTCACCACTATACTAACGAGGAGCTGCTGTAAAGGGAAAATGACACCAATAAAAAAAGGGAAAAAAAAAGAAAATAGTGACTCGTGTTTCACACTCACCAGGAGGCCATCTGTCTGACTGACGTACAGTTTCAGGTTAAAGTAGTCTGGTCTGTTCTCCTGCCAAAGCTAAATGACAAACACAAGGATTGAAAGTTTAGTGTTTAGTGACACAAGTTTAGTCTAATTCTGTAAAGTTGTATTTTGGACAAAAGGCAGCATTTACTGACTGAAATTCTTGGATGTAAAACCACAAACAGCCACAAGATGGTGATGAATCCCACAAACCTGACACTGTCCATGACCTTTGATGTTGCTCATTACTACTTTAAAAAAAACTTAAAATCTGCTGACTAAATAAATAAATTATTGACAGCAAACTTGGAGTTGGAGTGAATCAGAGGTTGATATCTTGACCTACTAAGTGCTTTAATTTCTCCACAACCTTTACTGTGATCTGATTTTAAAAGCACAGGTGCCACAGTAACGGCTCCCTTGCTCATCTGCAGTCATTTACGCTTTTAACCTCTGACCTTCCTCTGCCAATAAAAACCCAGAAAACTTACTCTGACCTGACTGAGAGCAAATGCACAAAGGAAAAGAAAGTTTCCAGCCCCAATAATCTGTGGAAATGCATTGACAATGCTGGTAAACTAGACATTTGAAAGTGAATCCTCTTTTGTATCGCTGACGTTCAAGCAATGGAAAACACAGGATTCTGGTCAAACAATTACTAAATTCAGGCTATATACTTTAATTCCCACATGTTTTGATTAATGTAACATGAAAGCACAACCATCCAGACATTGTCCTGACCTTGTGATGCAGAGCACACAGCAGCTCTGCAAACCAGTAGAAGGACTGGAGCTCCCTGCAGACCCACACAAAGTACAACCTCTGCAACCTGAAACCCGTCCAGCCGTCACTGGGTGTTCACCAGAAGGGAAAGAGAAAGGGGAAAAAAATAAATAAATATGCTCAAATTGTTCTTCATTTGTCAGTACATAATATCTTTTTTTCACAACTCACAGCAGAGCGTGCAGCACACAGGCGAATGGTGTGACTCCTATTCCGCCAGCGACACAAAGACTGACGTCGTAGTTGAATACTTCCTCTGATGGACTTCCAAAAGGACCATCAACGTAAAGCCTGAATACACAAAGTGGACAAAAATACAGAAGACATTTGTCCAAGAGACTGTACAAATACACACATGTTTAATTATATTTCTACCCCTGGGACAAACGCACATACAGCAGATAAACATCCTGCATCTGAAATCCCAGAGTCTGAGTGCAGCTTGTGAGTCAACAGATAGACAGACAGAGATCCCCCAAACCCACACACACCCGTCATCCCCACAACAGCTGCTCAAACACTTGTGTCATCAAAACACACACACACAGACACACAGACAAGCACGCAAAGAAATGCATCTTTCTCATACACACACAAACTACACACACGGATACCAAATTAGCAAACATTTCTCTGCATTAACGTAGTATAATACGGAAATATGGCGCATGAAACTAAAAACCGGGCAGAGGAAATGGTTGTTAAGGCTGCAGCGGCCTTTCCACACCCCAACACCCACCAAAGGGACAAAGGAGACTTGGCCTGGCTTTTCTGTCACATAATCACAAGCACTGGGCTCTGTAGCACTTCTGAGATTTTTTTCTTAATGGCCAAAAACATGGTGTCAAAATGTAAAATAATGGTTTGAAGTTAGTGGAGAGTCTGTTTTTTTCCATAGTCCTTTTATACTGTACATAAACGGACATAGCCACGGGGTCTGAAAAGTGAAGCAAACATGGAAGCACCTTAAACCAGCACTCTTTCCAACAGCCAGCAGGGGGCGCCTCCTCTGGTTGCAAGTAGAAGTCAGATTGTATAAAAGTCTATGAGAAAATGATCCAACTTCTCTTTGGATTTGTTACCTCAGTAAACATTTTCCCAATGAGTTTGTGGTCTCAGTTGCTAGTTTCAAAAGGTTTTTTTTTTATATAGCATGGCGTTCATTTTGTAAAAGAATGATCACATTTAGAGTAAAATAGGTGACGATAAAGTAAGGTATGTTTCAGGGCAGAGCTACCTTCTGATTGACAGGTTTCTATTGCATCAGTGTGCACGGGGTCCTCGTGTTCATGGTCAGATTCATTCCTAACTGCATTTTACTTTCATATAGCTCAGCTAGTACATTCCCCTAACTTTATGATGACCTAGATTCAAAATATATCAATATTGCTAATAATGTGTGTTTTCCAAAATGTCTAGCTATTCATATTCATTAGAAAAAACATCAAAGCATTTTGGGCTAGCGGCATGTTGAATAATACTACCTGTACGAAATGTGTGGGTATGTATATATGAGGTGTGTCAGAAAACTTCCAGGACTGGTGTCACAAAAGATGTATTTTAAACCCAAACTACAAACTATGAGTTTTCCCCTTCAGACAATCAACCAGCTTGTCTACAAAGAGATCCTGAAGTGTTGCTTCATTCAGCGCATGAGAAGAGGCGAGAGTTGTGGCAGGACAAGTCGTGGCTGCTTCACCATGACACTGCGCCTGCTTCACAATGCCCTGAGCATCCCACAGTTCCTGGCTGAGAAGAACATCGCCGTGCTGGAGCAACCTCCCTACTATTTCCATGTTAAGCAGCTGAAGGACTGTTGGAAAGTTAAAAATCTGACAATTCCTTCTGTTTTTACATTTTTTGGCTCTGATGAAATGTGTCACTTTGGTGATAAAAAAAACAAACAAAACTCAACAGGCCTTTTTTAAACCCATCAGTAGGTTTGAGGTTCAGATACTTAATATTGTCACAGCTGTTCTTTTCTACATTATTATTCATTATGCATGTACACAAGTTGAAGTATAGAAGTAAATAAAAATTCATCTTAACTCTTTTGACCATAAGTGGGCACTGTGGTACACATCAGCTCGTTCACCAGGGGGGAGGGGTGTTAAGGGTTTTGATGGTTTGCTTTGCTCTAGTTTACTGTCAAAAAACAAACTCTTATTCCCTCGCAGGCCACATCTAACTCTCCATCTCTGCCTAACGCTCTCCCAAACACAGAGCAGGAAGAGCACAGAGTCAGAGGTCAGGAGGTCAAAACCTCTGACCCTTCTGCGATTCAGAGCCTTCATGAGAAATCATGTCAGCCACATCACCACACAGAGTCACACAGAAACGTACTTGGGGTATCTCCTCTGTTGGACCATGGGAAGGATCTCCAAGTCTATCCTTGGAGGAGGAAGTAACAGCTGTGTGAACCGTTCTGAGGAAAGGAGAGGAGAGGATTTGTATTTATACAGTAGTATCATAAATAAGTGTAATAAATAATGCAAATATAATCAGTGTAAAAATACCATCACCCTACATAGATATGTGTATTTTCTATACATCTTAATTCAAAGCTCTCCATTTCCTTACAACATGTTGTCATGGCAGATTAAGGGGCCAACACAAACAAACCGACTTCCCTTCCTGTGTTCAGAAAGCATGTGTGCGTGGATATGTACAGTAGAATGTGGAAACGACTGCACATGTTCTTGCATTTGTTGCAGTCTCCCAAAGGACACGGCTTCCTCTAACAGTGACTCCCTATTGAGTCGGCTGCAAACCAGTCTTTTTCCCTAACATACTCTCTTTATATGCGTGAGCATTTACACCCTTAAAGCATCACGTTTTTGAAGTCAGGAACAAAAGAAAAAGTCGTGTGATTGCAGTTTTCCATCTTTTTTGCTTAAAAGGAATCCAACAAGCTCTGTAACATTAATAAATAATGTGCTGTCTTTGAGTGTACGTTCGTGGCAAATACAGTTTTCCAGCAAGACAATAAACCAGTGAGAACAATGCTGGCCTCAAGGTAAAGGAGTTTCACACACAGACAGACACACACACACACACACACACACACACACACAAAGAAACACATGTATAGAAAGAGAGAGAGTGACTTTCACACACATAAAAATGTAGTTTTTAGGAAATGCTTGCTCCCCAGAGAGAAGTGAGAATGAAGAGAAAGACAAAACTAAATCAGTTCCATCCTGTCGACTCTGATAAAGTAAAGAAAGGCTGTGTCTTTTTATCTATGTGTTTCTGCACATGTGGGCCTTTGTGCGTATGTGTGTGTATGTGTGTGTGGTGTTTGAACTCACCAGTCCAGTCTCCCACGACTCGCAGATGGATGCCAAAGGTTTCCTTGTTCTCTGTGGGACACTGCGAGGAGTTAAAGAGCAGACAGTTAGTCACAATGAAACAAGTAAACATACACGCACACGTAAAACTAACACAAGAGAACCAGGCCTGCACACAAACACACAATCCAGAGCACAAATACAGTTCATAGCTACAACTCTTTTCATTAAATTTAACAAGGCACACACACACACACACACACACACACACACACACACACACACACTCATGGACGCATACACAAGCCTTCCAGTTGGCAGACAGCGTTACTAGCCTCGGGGGTCTGTCTGCTCTCTGTCAGTGTGATTCTCTGCCCTCCTCCTCAAAGCTCCATAACACACCAGGCATAGGCATGCACGCAGTAATTGTGTGTCTCTGTGTGAGTGAGGCAGTGTGCGTGTGCGTGCGTGTGTGTGTGAATGAGTCCATCTCTGTATGCTGTGTAAGCAGAAAGTTATTCCTTTATCTTTTGTTTTTGTCTCATGAAATCTGAACTAAATCTGCAAACATCAATAAACAATGTGAAACATGATATTACTGGACAACTCAGCTGTCAATCAGTGACAGAAAGCAATAGAGGGGGTGGGACGAGGCAGGAGAAAAAAAGTTTAAGAACCTGGAGAAACGTGTGTGCCTGCGTGTGTGTGTGTGTGTGTGTGTGTGTATGTATTCACGTGTCTGTGTGTTTGCATTGTGTCATGACGGAGGAATTTGTTGGAGCGAGTTCCATAAAAGTCTTACCGTTGTTAGCGTGAAGGGATGGTTCTCAAATGAAGAGACACCTGGACAGTTAAGAACAATATACTGAGACAAAGAGAAAGAGAGGACACGATGGAAAGACAGACCGGGGGGGACGAGGGATTAGAGAAAAAAACAACAGTAACAGTGAGTTACAGCAGTGGAATTTTCCTTCACTCCCAAAACAATCCCGCATTTATATAAACTGAGATAAAATAAAAGCCCAGCGATGAGATAAGTCCTCTCACCTGTCCGGGTCGAGCGCTGAAGTTCTTCTTTAGCATTCGCAACTCGATGACGTCACAAGGATGCCTGACGACGGTCACTATGGTAACGGGGTCACTGCTCCGGATGTAGCGGTAGAAGCGCTCCACACAGTAGAGACAGAGAGGACCGGACACCCAAAGCCACGTCTGTGCACACACATGGAGACGACACGCAACACAAAGGACACTTTCAGGACTTGTAAAGGAGTTCGAAAAGACAGTTTGATGTCATGTTTGTTACCCTGTTGGTAAAGCCACTGTGTTCAATAATACACAAACACGCCTGTGTTGCTCAGGTACATGGAGCAGGTTGTTGATTTTGGATTGTTCTCCTCTGTGCAAACCTGCAAAGAGGCCTGCATGTATCCTAGCAGAAGTATAGTTTCTGCTCAGTCTAGATTAATTTTATCTTCTAAAGTGAACAAGGAATGTTTTCAGTCCTGTACAGACCATCACAAAGCCACTGTTTTTGTACGTAGTGCTGCACGACTTATTGTTTCAGCATCAACATCATTATGTGCGATCTGAAGTTGGGCAAATTAGCTCATGCACATCATGCAACAACTTTGTTTGCTGCTTGATGCGAAAAGAAAACTTGGTTCTCATTTTCCATGACTGATCGACACAAGAGAATACTATCTGATTAAAGTTTTTTTTTTTTTTTCTTCTTCTTCATTGATTTATTAAGAGGACACAGAGTTTGTTCAGCAAAATAGGCAATGAACAGAAAGGAAAGCTCTGAAAAGGAGCTTTTACTTAGTGAAGCCTTTCTTCCAAAAAGAAACACAATGTGAGGGATGATGCTGACCAAAACTGGTACTGTGTCTTGCAGGGTCTTGCCATTGTTGTCACTACACTCGACTAATTTGTTTGGGCATATAAATCAGGCCTACAAAGCTCTGTATGATGAGTGCAAAGCCAGATCTGAATGCGATCCAAAGCAAAAAAGACGTGGTCAGATTTGGGAAGGCTTACACATTATTTCAAGATCGACACAATGAATGAAGAGAAAATAGCTACATTTATCAGGGTGGAGGCCATTCAAAATACAGCAGCAGAATTATTACTGTATTCAGACAGTTTAAAAGAGCTAATGTAGAAAGTGTTAGGACTCTGTATCAGCTATTGTCTATCAGGTCTTTCTAATTCTACCAGCTTGCCCCCCATTGCATTAGAATAACACAAGGGGCTCTGACTCACATCCAGCCAAAGAGAGTATGTTCATGTGAATAATAAATCCATCACAGTGTGTGGTATTTCTGCTTCTTTCTGTTGGCAGTTACCTGTACTAGACTAATTGCTCACAGCTTCAGCAAAGCCTGGGGAGCACAATCGGGTTTAAGGGGGATTTTATGGAACCAGCTCACTCCTTAACGACCATGTGCAAACGCATAATCACACACGCAGGTAGAAACACACAAACACAGGCCATGAAAGAGGATGCGGCCCCTCCCTAACAGCGCTACACCTCTAATAAATGGGACCAACTCCCTCCAACACTTCCAAAATGCTCGGCACACGTGTACAGCACTCACCCTGAAGGCACACATACATAAATTCCACATCACAGTCAAAGGAACATTTTCTTCAACTCAAACACACACGAAAAAGTACAATGCAGGATAAAAGTACCTCGACCACACAGACACACACAGACCTGGGGGTAATGCGGCTGGAAGTAAGCATCCTCTCTGCATCTGCCCTCCTCATCTTCACTTTGCTCCAGCTCTTCGCCCTGCTGCTCTGTGCTGCTCTGATTGGTTCGGAGACAGCCGGGCGGGTGGGCTTCAATGTTGGTCTGATACTTCAGAGCGCCACTGATTTAAAAGACAACAACGAAGGTGATGTTGGTTTGACAGTATCATTTATATATGTTGAGATGTGGATACAGATTATAAACACACATCTAAGTTCATACAGTGACTCTTCTTTTACCAAAGCATTCAGACTGAATAGGTACAACTAAGGGTTAATAAATCTCAACCACACAATCAAACAGTGCAGCAACAAGATGGGCATGAACAGGCAGATATTAAACGTGACTGACTGGCATTGAAGGTAAACAAAAAAACATTCTTGCACGCTGATTTCCAAAGAAAAACTTTTTACTTTGTCAGAACAAGAAATGATTTATTTCTGTTGAATCAATGACATCAGAACATTCTTTGAAAGTTGATGAAACTCTGATTGTTTAAAACACACAGTTTTGTCTGCGAGCTTTTAAGCTGCATATACTAAGTTAGAGACGTCTCCAACTGTCAGCTGCAGTCTCCCAACATTTGCTGACATTTTAAGTGAGGCAAATTATTATCCTGTCCTCTGGAGGAGATGGAGACAAACTGTACTAACCGTGCAGAAAAAATCTCCCTTGACTCATGCAGAGAAAAAGCTGCATGCACAAATACACTTTCAGTGCTACCCACCCGACCATGTGCACCATCAGGATGATGTAGAAAATGATGAAGAGGTTGTGTGTGTACCAGAAGATCTCATAGTTAGATACCCTGAAAGAAAATACAAAGTGACAACATATGTGACTTTTTGTGTCTAAGTCAGACCAAGAATGTTTTAAAAGAGCGGCAATCACCAAAATCAGATGTAAATGAGCAATTATAACTTGGGGACGTGATATCAGGAATCAAGAGACACAAAAAAGAGCAGAGACAACAAAAGAAGAAAGCAGGGTCAGAGTTTGTTCAGGACCAGACAAACAGACTCCCAGCTCAAAGCCTGAGTAAGCAGGACATCAGAGGTCAGTATTAAAGGGGTCATTACACACAACAACCCCATAAACACTGCAAGCAACATACATTATCAAACCCTGTAGTCTACCTTTGTAAATGCAGCTTCTTTCATGATTGTTTTGTTTGGATTTCTACACAAGGACACTGATCAGCACAATTTAATTTTACATCAGCTAAGATGTGTTCCTACTGTCATAATTTCTGCATAATCCAGTTGAATCAGAAAACAAATAACAATTTGAAGCAAAGTTAACCAAAACTGCCCTCATATTTGCTGACATCTTACATAAAGAGTGCCTTTTCTCAGGGCACACTGTTGCAAAAAACTAAGTGATAGACTTCGCTGAAAGTTGCATTCCAGAACCTGCAGTTAAATCACCAAATATACATATTTTTACAACTTGCAAGCAGATAAGTCCTGATCTTTAACATTCACTTTATCTGGTCACAGCTGTATACAGACAGGAGTGCCGAAAATAGGGGTGACTACAGATAACAGAAAAGATAAAACAATTCATAGGAAAGTGGAGGGAAAACAATTTTTTGGAAAACTTGCCAAGTAAAATAAAAAACTTGGAATAAAAGCAGCAATGAGTGTGCTGTGCAAGTAGAGAAACTTGTATAATCTCATTTTAATTCTCTTTTGTCTTTCTTGTTTTTTGTTTTTAACTGAATAACATTTTATACCTATTTGGTCTTGGTCTGTGGGTTTTTTATGTTTTAAGCAAACATTGACAAACTTGGCTCCTTCAGGTGAATTTACAAATTATGCATTTCCTCTTTATCTTTTTAAAAACTCAAAAATTCTCAAAACTCAGCAATTATTTAGAGCGGTAAAGTTGGGGCGTAGCATGCAAAACATTGTATTAATTCAATTCAATTCAATTCAATTCAATTTTATTTGTATAGCGCATATTTACAACAACAAGTCATCTCATCGCGCTTCACAAAGGCAGAGACAGAAACACCCAACAATCCAAAACATTTGGATTCCCTATAAGCTTCAGCAGTCCGCAACAGTGGGAAGGAACCGAAAACCTCCGACAGAACCAGGCTCAGGGAGGGACGGCCATCTGCCTCGACCGGTTGGGTGAGAGTGGGATGAATTATACAATTTAGTTTACAGTTAAACAAGTTATTAGAATTTATTGTCCTTTTGTAACAAGACAGAGTTTTAAGTAGAGCCCGGCCTATATTTCATTTTTGCAGCCAACGCTAATACTGATTTTTAGTCTATCAGCTAATAATATTTAAATAAATAATGTTTGATGGGGTCAAAGTTTTTAAATTTCCTGTTGATGTTTTTCACATACTAGTTGGCATCTTACCACGAAGACAAAGCTTGACTCTGCATCACTGTCTGCTCAGCTGTGACATGCGCTCTGTTACATGTGCTGCAGACACTGCTGAGTGTCTTAAACAATGGAGAACTGTGTGAAGACACTTTTTAAATTTGCCAAGAATCTTTTTCTGCATTGTGTTCGTGAACCAAAACAAAGTGTTTACATCTTCCGATAATATCTGCCAGTCGACGCATCAGTCTGGCTCTGGTGTAAATATCACTGGATCTCTGTGAGTCATGATGCAGGTATTCCTCTGGTGTGCAGCCGCCATCATCCTGCCACTCCAGCCACTTAGTCAAACTCTTATCTAAAGCCGTTAGTGGTCTGGAAAAGCCTCTTATCCTCTGTTCAATTACTGACGACGGCATGGAGAGCACACATGGACACACACATCCTTGTCTCTCACATGTGCATAGTGGCTGACCCAGGATGACCTGAGTAATGACAGAGCCGTGATGTGCTCTGTTACAGACTTCTGTTGGCATGTCTCCTCATGGTCTTTTCCATTTCTCGCTCTCACATACAAGATGAGTCACAAACGCAGGCAGAAAGACAAAGTCGAAACAGACATGGCACAAAGAGATACCACAGAGGATGAGACACATATACAGAAACATTAAAACCATGGTTGTATGAAGAGAACTGATTGTCAGCCTTCAATATGGCATTCAATCATTCCAATGAAAGTCGCTCATGCACTGTATATCTCATAATGGTTTTCTCTGACATGCATGTCCAACATACCACTGAAATTACTTCACACACATAAAAATTGCTTCTCTAGGCTTTGGGACATTTTTTACAAATTTTAAATCTTTGTGGTATAAAAAAAATATGTCTGCAGTGTTCTCTCAATGTTCTCACAGACGTATCTTTCATAACAGTTGTTTCTCAATAAACTGTATCCACCTCCTTTCTTAATACATCCATGACACAAACACACAAGGATTATGGTGACGGATGGTGGTTTGATTTAGCCTACCGTACGCAGTAGGAGGAGGAGGTGAACATCAGGAAGAGGATGAGAACCAGCAGCACACCGGTGATTCCTGGGACTAAAGAAAATCAGACAATTACAGAGTGGAAACAAAGCCAACAAGTAAAATAACATTCAAGGCTACATGCATGTACTCATCAAGCGGAGATGTCTGCACACAGGCTTACAGCGATATTACCAAATCATTATATCTAAAAGAATGAAGCAATCCAACAGTATACAAAAAATGGGACTCATTCCATTCACAAGAAAGAGAAAGAAAGGTTTAAAGCAAGTCCTTCTTACTTGTGGTGAAAATGATCATCTTGGGGTCCTAGGAAGAAAACAGAAACAAGAAAGGCCTGTGTGTAACCTTCTGTATCTGTTAGCTGACACTTTATTTTGAAGAGAAAACTGTCTGAAGGCTTTATGCTAACACAACATTTCAGTGTGTTTCTGCCCTCTTCTTTAACCCTCTGAATCCTGAGCAGTTTCTGGGAGTTTTTGTTGCTTCTGTCACTTGTTTTTTTACTCACTTTGTGCTCATTGTTTGAATGCAGTATGAAATATTGCACCTCTATGGTAACAGCACAACCACGAGTAGAGCGAACTCAAAAATGCTGTGAAGTGTGACACAGCTGTAATGCCAAAAATCATGAAAAAGAAGAAAATGAAGTTCAATTTCTTATTGTTGTTTATTCTACAAATATTTTTTAAAAACTGAAATCTACATGTACAACGTTTTTTCCAAGTGCCCAAAGGTGTTACCAGAAGTGGAAAACAAATGGCTCAACATATTATGAATATTTTACTACTTACATTTTAATTTGTTTCTGTATTTGTCTCATATCTGCTCTGTGTAAACACAGCCTGCAGTTCAGCCCAATCCCTGTTGGCTTTATGGTTGTGCCAAGGAGCAAAGATTTTTTTTATTGTACTTTTTTTCCCACAAAATCAGGTAAGAAATGTTCATTAGGACATACGCAATATTGTGAGGTTAGGTTTTGTCAAGTTTTCTGACGGTGTGTTTTGGGGTTCACAGGGTTACGGTGAGCTAATCAGGGATCAGAGTCTTGGGTGTGATAAAAACCCTCCACTATGTCAGTGACACATGGTTGGCCACCCCTGATCGAAGACATTTTTGAGTGGTGTGGACATTTTCCTCACTCCTTCAAAGGGGTTAATACTTTCAGATTTAAAGGTTTAGTGAATATGCTTCACACTAAATGCTTGCCAGATGATCTAACAGCAGCTGAAGCCCCCTCCCTTTACATTTCCAACTTCAAAATGAGGTAACAGGTTTTGTACAGTTCAGAAAAGGCCAATTCAACAAGTGTGTCTGCTTTACGCAGTGATAGTACAGGTGTGCAGCGGCGAGGTGCACGATTGATCGATCTCTCTCAGAATGCTCCTTTTTCATCTTAAATCAATTATTTTCTCACTTTTATGTGTATAGCAGAGTGAAACACCATGCTTTTGAGGATAACTACCAGTGAATGTGCCGTCACTGTCATTTTACGGTTTATTCTGGCTCTCTCTGACTTCTAGCATTTCACCCTAACCTCAAATATTGTAATTTGTAACATTTGCAAACACTATTGCTTCCATCTGTGGTCAGAAAACACATTTCAAGCACACCTTTGTCTGTACCATACCCCAGCCTTAAAGTGGAGGTAAGATTTGGGGTTAGATAAGTCATTGTGATGGTTGAGGTTAGAGGCCAGCGAATGCATCATCTCAGCCAAGGTCCTGACAAGTATAAAAGCACAAACTGTATGTGTTTATGTCTCACCTCTCCTCTGTAACGAGCCAAATTGAGAGCAGGAAAGTCATCCGAGTAGCTCGCACTGAAGTTGACGACATTCACCAGGTGGGCTGAAACGTGCACAACTGGACAGGAAGAGACTGTGTTACACAATACTGATTTAAAACACACGTTTCTGTGCTCCAGCAGCACGTATGCAGGACTTCTCCACTGTTTCAGACACAAACAAACTTTTAATTCTAAGGGTCAGAATCAACTGCATGTGGACACTCAAACATTTCTTTGTCTATTCAGCAAAAAGTCAGCAAAACATCCTCCTGACTTACTGGCACACACACAAGCACACACACTTCTCCCTGACATCATAGGCTAACCACGCAGCCGCTCAACAGCTGATGGAATTAGAGGGCGTAATCATGAGACACAAGGGTCCTTTTTTCTCACCCACATCCTTCCCCACTCCCACTGCCTCCCCCTTTCCTTCTTTCTCTCTCTTTCTGTTCTCAGTTTGTGTCTCTCGCCCATCCCTGCTCCCTCTCTGTCTACATTGTCATTTGTTGTCTCAGAACATGAGAACTTTGCCTGAGGGACGACATGTATATATATGTGTGTTGTGTATGTGCATGTATGTGTGTTAATGTTGATGAGTGGAGAAGTGAGTGGTAATGATGAAAGAAGGCTTAAGCTTACAGATGATGTAATAGTAAAGAACAGATGCCAGCTCTGGCAGGTCTTTTATTTCAATCATTGTATTGGTTCTATGGATTGCAAATGCTGGCAAGTCCATCCAAATCTCAATAAATAGATCTCAGCAACTGCTGGATGAAATTTTTTTTTGTTTTGTTTAGTTTTTTTTTTTTTTACAGATCCTGATGTGAAATGTCGTTGCAACTGTTAGATGGGTATAAGCCTGTTAAAAAGGCCACGTTCAAAGCCTCCGCTGTGGAGGTGGCTGTTAGGAGCTGTGGAAGAACTTGTTGGTAGATGCCAGCAGTGAAAAAGGCCATCAAACTAAAAAAAAAAAAGGAAGCTTTCTGGGCTTGGCTGGCTGAGAGAACTCCTGAAGCAGCAGACTGGTTTTTGGGGGCCAGAAGGGCTGCAACTGCGGAAGTCGCTGAAGCAAAAGCTCAGGTGTTTGGGACAGCAAAGGAGAAGTACTTTTGGTTGGTCTCAGGAGGATTTCTGGCAAACTATTCGACAACCCATAAAGGGAAAGCAGGGCTGTGTTCAGTCACACAAGACAACTGCTGACTCACACTGAAGATTTTTTGTGAGCTGTGGAAAGAGCATTCTAAGACGCTCTTTAACCCAACCAGCACATCATCTGTGGTGGAGTCTGAGGACTCGGGGGAAGTCTCAGCATCAGCAGCAATGTGGGTGTTGTATCAGACCGTCATTGTGAAGAGGAAGCTGAGCTGGAAAGGCAAGGCTGTCATTTAGCCAGTCGGTCTTTGTTCAAACTCTCACCTACGGTCATGAGCTCTGGGTTATGACCGAACATTGAGATGAAGATCTTGGACATCCAGAGGTAGCCTGGAGAAGAGTAGTTTCTCCTTAGCGTAGCTAGCTGTGGTGGATCAGGAATCTGATTAGTATGCCTCCTGGGTACCCTACTTTGGAGAATTTCCAAACATGTCTAACTGGGAGGAGATCCTAGATTCAACCCAAAACTTGCTTGAGGGATTATATATTTCATCTGGCCTGGGAATGACATGGGACCACCCAAGAGGAACTGGAAGACGTTTGTGGCGAGCGGGATGTCTCGAATACCCTATGTAGCTTGTTGCAACTGCGACTTGACTCAGGACAAGTGGAAGAAAATTGAAGGATGGATGGATTGAGAATGCTAACGTGCAAAACTAAGACAGTGAACAAGCTAACACTGAAACTGCTCAGGATCAGAATGTTGCATGCAAGTACGATAGCATTTAGTTCAAATCTATATACAGGGCAGAAAGTATGACTGTGTACGGTCTTTTGTCTTTGTACCCGATGAAAGTCAGCTCACCATGTTGTCTGTAAAAGGGACACATCACTGATTGTGCATGTCAAAGTCTATTTATGTTAGTCAGGTACTATTGGGCCTGTGGAAACAACTGTACAAGATCTTTTGTGACTTTTGGAATTGAGAATTTCCTCATTGACATCTTGGTCTATTAAAACTGGGCATAACAACATGGTAGCAACCTGTGAATAGGTAGCTCACCCTAAAACATACCGTGTTGTATTCAAAAAGTGTTTAAACTAGCGATTGAAAGCATAAATTCATCAGGAAAATGTTTACTGAGGTGACAAATCCAGTGAGAAGTAAGGTGATTGTCTCATAGGTTTAATACAGTTTGTATAACCAGAGGAGCTGCCCCCTGCAGGCCATTAGAAAAAATTTAGGTATAAAGCAACTCTGTGTTAGCGTCACTTTTCAGACCCATAGACGACTTACATCTTTTATATACAGACCATGAACTTGACTTGAGATTTTCTTTTGAGTAGTCAATGGCATTTACTAATGAAAGTGCAGCAAAACTATTCACACTAGTCCTGACACTGGTATAAATAATTTAAGCTGATTAACATTTTGATTCAAAGATCAGTGGCCTATTTCAAATCTTTCTGACTAAACACTAAAATTCCGCATGGGTAGAATGCACTCTTCCACACATTGGCCACACTGGGTCTTCTGTCCCAACGCTCATGTGCCACCATGTCAGTGTTTTTAGTCAACAGATCTTCTGACCAAATCGACCTCTGTACAATGCTTGGATCTCTGTCGAAGGAAAAGCCCAGAGCATGTGGTTTTAAGTGGCGAGTGCTGACTTCACTTGCAGTTCATCTTGTTTCGTGAGACTTGCATGTTGCTGTAAAATCAACAATATGAGCCAGATAAAGACTCCCAACATGACTAAGAGGAAGAAGCCTGTAAACCCAGCGAACACACAGCTGTTAGAGGCTCCCATGATGTCATAGAGGAAGACTCAGAAGAATAACAACACACACATGCATAGACACTCATGCCTAAACAGCAAAAACACACACAAACAGCAAGAAGCCCATCACAGCTTGTACATCAGGAATGCTAAACCAGCCTGGAATCATTTATCCACACTTCACACACACATGGACACACATTGTGATACATGAATGAAGTGAGCTTAGGTGATAAGTGACAGTTTTTACCGGAGAAGACACAGATGGCAACGCCACATGCCACATGAAAGGTCTTGCTCTTGTCCAGCAGTCTGCGTGTCTTTCTGGTTGATACCTGCATGTGCAGACAAGTGTATTATATTTGTGGCAGGGACTCAAGCAAAACACATAACTATTTTTCAAATGATCCTCTTTCTTCCCTAAATTCAAAATTCATCTTTACCAATATGTTCCTGTATTTTTGCATCAAAATATGACTAGTATACCTCAGCATGTTACAGTGGTTCTTTTCCAATATATGAGAAGGTTTTACGGATGTTTAAACAAGCCCCACGCCCTGTTGCTTCTGATAAAACAAAACCCAATGATCACGTAGTTCTTGGTCCCATCCCTAAAACTGCCACCCACCCATCTTATCCTTCCTTTCTTTCTTACCGCGTGAGTTCCTCGTACAAAGGTGAGTAGGGAGCGACACATGGGCAACAGCACCAAGCTGCAGTTCAGGTTCAGCACAGATGCAGACGCCCTGCTGATGCACAACCCTAGCTGGGAAAGAGACACACACACACACACATATATATTGTTAGGCAGGTTGCCAAAATGGGGCCTTATTCAGCGGATGTAAAACAATAAGGGTCTGACGGATTAAGAAACACACTTTTGAGTTGTTCCTATTCAGATCTGGACTATTCACGGCCAACTGAGAACTTGAGGCATGACTTGTTTTCTGCCACACAGGCTTATTTAAAACCATCTTTGTTTTTGTCAGTATGGAGAGGTAAGGATCCTTCATCATTTAGATGTTTTTTACTGATGGTTCACCTTGAAATGGTGCACTGTCATTTAGTTTTGTCAAGATAATAAAACAAAAACGTGTTTTTGGTCAGTAGCTGTTTAAAACATATCCGATCTTACATTTTGCCATCTGTTTATTTCAGATCAGGTCAGACTCTGGCATCACATCCCAGAACATCCTGGTGTAGCACGTGACACCCGGATGAGAGGGCAGTTTACCTAAAGTGACATGTCAGCTGTGTAATTAGGTTTCACAAATCTCAAGCTACAGCTCCATAATCAAAGCTGTTTTCATGTGGAAATACTGGATGTATCTTGGCGCCTCCTAAACTCAGTACACTTAAACACTTTCTTTGGCAGCCTAAGGGTTCACTGCAGGTGCCGTCTCTTCTGATTATCCCCAAGAAACTGAAACAGCTAGTGTGAAAGATGAAGGTGTGCAAGTGTTTAGATCAAAAAAAGGGAGAAAGACAGTTCATGAAACTGTTGTCTAGAGGAGAAGCTCGATTTAAACGGCTGTCAGGTTTTAATGCTGGCTGTATAAGATGCAACAGAAGCAAGAAATCAGCTAAAGAATATCACTACTTAAGGTATCGCCACCGCTGACCTAACTATTTATCACTGAACAATCAACCTACAGTCCAGAAAGACATGAGGGATGATAATTTGCGTTACAACTGACTGAACTGCTGAAATATAAGAATGCAGCATACAACAGGCCAAAGTTCGAATCTACATATAGCAATTGAAGGTTAACACCAGCGCACTTAAAAAGTCTCATGCCTCTACCCTTTCAAAACTTCTCACACACACACACTCCCTCAAAGCAGCTTCCCAAAGAAAAGCAGCTGACGGCAAAACCACAAGCAGGAGATCTGATATCCTGCTTTCTGTACATCCCCAACACACCAAACAATCCCAACACACACACACACACAGAAACGCACACACACACACACAATGAGCTACACAAGTGAATAAGATAGGATGTTTTTTGAAGTTAAATCTATATTCCCTTCAGCAGCATTAAGGCTTTGAAATACATTTTCATCTTGCATCTACACACATACACGTGCAAACACACACACACACACACATAAACTTAAGCCCTCTGGCGAAGCATTCAGTCAAACCAGCGGCGTGCCCACACTTGCCCCTCTCTCCCCTTTGCCTCCCACCGTACAGGCAGTGCAAGAGTTCACACGTGCTGCTCGCTGCCACAGTTTATTTTCCCATTCATTCCTAACTGCACACAGTGTTTCCCCCGTTGACTTTCAAACTACCGTTTTTCATCATCTTAATGTATTTTAAAGTTGTCATTTACGAATACTGATGCTGAGTTATCCTAATTCCTGCTCTTAATATGTTCTAGTCATACGCTTGGCATGGGTTGTGTATACCATTTCATATGTTTAGACAATTTCATCTTTACTTGTGCAATAAACGAAAAACTTTCAGAGTCTTCGCACAAGTTGTTACCACAGACTTTATAGTGAAGATCAATGTAGCCTCCAGGTTTGAGAAGTGACGTCAACACTTAAACCTGCATTCTTACTAACAGACAGCAGAGGGTGACTCAAAAATAAGTCTGACTGTGTAGAAGTCTATGAGAAAATAAGCCTAATTGTCACTTGATTCGGTACTACAGTTAACATTTTCCTAATGAGTTTATAGTCTCAATTGCTGGATTCAGGTATCCTTCCCATCAGCATGATGTTTATTAAATAAATTATGGTCCCATTTAGAGTAAAACCGATGATAAAGCAGGGTATGGTTTAGAGCGGGGCTACCTTGTGATGGCAGGTTGCTTCTGTATAAGCTTGTGTAGTGTTCTTTCAGTCAGATCTATGTGTTGCTCATTACATTCAGCTTAACAGGAGTAAGATGGTGACGGCCAAATTCAAAACTGAAAGCATCAAAATGGTTGTCCACAACCCAGTGAGTATTGTCATGTTGGGTGTGCTTATCGCATGTATCTGGAAGCTAAACAGTAAAAAACATTTTCACAATACATGAATGTCTTGCTTTAACTCAAGTATCCTGATGAGCACAACACGATGTGCTGAGAAAAAGATTTTCTTTAAGACACATAATAAAATGCTAACTGCAGTTTCGCTTCCACAAAGCTGACACTGCATCTCAAAATCAGCACAACTACCATGTGCTATATATTTGAACAAAAGGACAGTGTACCTGAAAAGAGCAAGTGTGAGCTGGTAGCCAACAATGAACTAGTCAATGCAAACTCAGATCTTGAGCTTTAGGGAGCATAAAGATGGTGAAGACCAACAATGAGAGTCTGATCATAGTAAGTCTAGACAGTAATGTCAGTGGTATTTATAAGATTTTCTCAAAACACAAGGACTGTTATCACACGGACAAGCACACATCAAGAAACTCCCATACAGACACACCATCCAGAACTTGTGACAAAAATTATACCACACGAGTCAGCAAGCATCAAAATCTAATCCTGCTTCTCTGTGCTGCTGCTCATGTCACTGTTGGCTGGTTGTAGAGTCCACAAAGACTCAACAACAGTGTACATCAGAGAGACTAATGCTCTCACAAAGTTCAGGTCCAAATCAAGCTCATTAAACCTGCAGAAAATAGTCAAACACCAATCAGCAAACCTGCTTCTGTGGTGCAAATACACCAAGAGCAGCGTATTTCCCAAACAACTGAGATTTTGATTGATGTCATCTGCAAAGCCGCAAGAATGTGACTTATTTTGGAGTCGTGCCATCTACTACATCAGGATACAGGCATGAAAAATGTGGTGGACAATGAATTCTTGGTTTTTAACGACAGATGGTCACTGTTGAGGATGCAACTCTTTCTGTAATATTGTACTATGTCAAGCAGCTTTTAAAGTAGCTGTCTGGATTGTGATCAATGACTTCCCTTCCATCTAAACTACTATTTTATTTGTTTTTTATGTGAGCAGTTAGAAACTAAATACATTGCTTTGTATACAATCACAATTTCCAAGCAAAGATATGCTATTGAGTCGATGCAGATGTCAAAGGTTAGTTACTGTCCTGCTCTTCTGGGTGGATTTGACTGAAAACTCAAAGACACTTTGCACCCTCATATGGTGGCAACTTGTCAATTACAAGGTAGCTCCTTTGTTGTCTATTTACTCTAAATCGGAGCATAATTTACAAAATGAACATCATGCTGAATTGAAGGAGACTTTAAGCTACAGATGTAAGGTAACAAATCAAGTGAGAAGTAGGCTAAGTTTCTGATAGACTTCAATACAATTGCAGCTCTTGCAATGAGGAGTCGCTCCTACTGGCTGTTACAAAGAGTGCAGCTTTATGCTACCTCCTCTTTACTTTTCAGACCCAGAGGTCACATCCATCTCTTTCCATTGGTGCATTGCTTTGTAGGATTGTTAGCAGAAAGTAGAGTGCATGCCATGGACACTGTTGTTTGGTTTATTCGTAGCATCATTAAGGAGTGAATAACACTGCGTATCCCGCGATGAGCTCAGACACTCATAAAATGATGGAGGTTAAACATAATGACTGTGAGTGATTCCTGACACAGTATGCATTTTTTTCACAACAAACATTTCAACCTTATTGAGCAGGAACTGCAAAGTATTAATATTATCAAAAATGGCCAGACGGAGAGTCAGCATGACCAATATTAAACGAACACTTCTGTATCTCCTTGTATGACAAGTGGCCATAAAAACCCTTTTCTTTCTCCCCTCACCCCACCTGGTCGAGGCAGATGGTTGCCCTCCCTGAACCTGGTTCTACTTAAGATTTCTTCCTCTTAAAAGGCAAATTCCCCCTGTCAAGTGCTGCTGGAATCAAGTTTCTCTCTATAATATCATTTTGTGGAGTCATGAACTTATTACTTGAAGTGCCCTGAGATGTTGTGAATTGAAAGAATGTAAATAAATTAAATTAAATTAGATTAACATGGCAGTGTGGTCCTAACAGCTTCCCTGTGACAGCTGACAGCAATGCCAGATCTCTGTGTGTAGCTATTCATCTCGATCAGATTTAGTTGCTGTGAACGGCAGTTTTGTTTACATGTACATCAAAGATTACAACCTATGATTCAAACCTGAGCTGCAGTTTCTCAGTAAAACTACATGCCAGCTCAGCTGTAAATGTAGAAGACTACACAAAAAGAATTAATGCAGCGTGCAGCATGTCTGAGGCCTCACCCCGAGCATCTTGTAGAGGTAGTGGTACTGCTGGCCGGTGGAGTACAGCAGGAAGGTGTTCATGAACAGCCAGGTGTTTGCTCCCAGCCACAGCATCTACACAGACACACACACAGGCACAGCAACAGCACAGGATGTACACTGTTGTCAACAAGTGGAAAGAAAACACAATGTGTGATTTGTCCCTAAATGTCTCATTGACATTTAGTGTTTCTCAATCAACATTTCTTTAAACTGCCATATAATGGTTGTGGTAGGTTAGATGAGCACAGCAAAGTTCATAAAGACACACTGAGCAAATTCAATTGTTTTTTTCCTCAAGAGGGAAACTTGCACAGAACGTCGTGAACATTAATTGCAAGTTCTGCTGACAAAAACAGCCAAAATAAACAATTCTACCAACAGCTAACGACACGAGTGGAGTTAAACAGCTTCAGAAACGTGTGACAAAAACTTTCCCCACCAGGACCAAGTGCTTCCCTCCTTCGTTGGCGACCCAGCTCCGCACCGACACGACCATGGTGCCTTCAGGGACTCCGCAGCTGCCCAAACTTTTCAGCAAAAGCCTCGGTGCGGCCGAGAGCTAGAAGAGCCGTCCTCCCCGCAGCTCTGCCTCCGTGTGTATGCCCCCAGACCGGCCGGTGTCTGCTCTGTCCGCCGCCCTGTCTGCTCTGAGCGCATTTTGACTTTTCATCCCCCCACAGCTCACAGCGAGGCTCCGCCGCATCTCCCCCCCGTCCCCTCGTTCCATCTCACTTCTGCCGTGCGCCAGGCACCGGTATTAAGTTAGCAGCTCCCCCGCACATCCTGAATGAAAATTTGTGCACACCCGGCCAAAAAGAAAGATAACCAACAATCCGTCTGGAGAACAATAAAAACGCTCCACTGCGCCTTAAAGCGTGTTTCTGCCAGCAGAGGGAGCCACAGACCAACATGAGCTTCTCTACAGGCACGGCTCACCTGTTACTTTGAGAGGAAATAACAGAAGACATAATTACACCATTACAGTCTGAAGATCAGATGTGATCGGTTGTACCCTACTAATAAAGCAGTAGGCCTGTTTTTAATAGATCCATTAACCCTCAGGTGTATTTTTTTAGGTTACACAAAATATCTTCAGGACAAAAATGTCGTTGTAAAACAAAAAAGAAAAAATCCCAGAAAATATTGTTTTTTAATATTATTTCCCACTTTCTCAGAGATAGGCTTTTTGACCAATAGCACTCACGATAACAAATACCAACAAATATTTATAATTTTCAGGATTTTAACCATTGTCAACAATTAGTAAAATTCTTATGCATCATTATTTTTTAGCATTATTATTATTATTATTATTATTATTATTATTATTATTATTAGCTTACACTTCAAACCTTAAGGGCAAAAATGTGCCACAATATATTAAAAATAATATTATTTTCCACTTTCATTGAGTTAGATTTTTTTAACCAACATCAATGTTGATAATAACTACCAAACATTTATTATTTTCTGTATTTTAACCCTTTAAATGCCATAATGCTGTATTCCCCATATAATGAGCAATTAGATTTTTTTTATTATTATTATAACAGGATATATTTAATAGAATTGTTTTGACAAGGACATTTTTGTTTTTAGGATCCTAAGTTTTTAAATGCCATTTAAAATGCCAGATTGCTTATATACTGCCACTGCTGTTTTTTAAAAATAAAATAAAACCATCTGGGATATGTCAGTGATTAGCAACAATATTGATTTGGATGCATTATTATTTTTGGTGCAGTGCCAGCTTAATAACCTTTTTGACACTTTAGAGTTTGTGGATTGTGCAGTGAGAGACCAAGTCAAGTCATTTATGAATTACATTTTATACAACAGACATCAAGCCAAAGCATTTTCCAGAAGAGAAATAAGATGTATACTATGGAAAACCTTACAAATCCAGGGATTCCTGAACCAGGCTCAGGGAGGTCGACTGTTTCCTGACCAATTGGAGTGAGGGTAAAGGGGAGAGAGAACAGAATAGCACAGAGAAACAGACAACAAACAAGAGAACATAAACACTAGACAGATTTGTGAGACCTGTAGCTGGAAATCATATTGTTGCAGCTCCAGAATGAGAAATACCTGCAGAGAGGTACAAGGAGAGAGAGGACAGAGAGAATAAGAAACTACAATGGAGAGAAGACACAAAGTTAAAAATATGCAATATTATATATAAATGCATGGGAGAAGAAATGACAAAGGTGAACACATCAAGACAGTTATAAATTAAAAGGATAACCAAGGCAAAGTATACTGGCTGGATTCAAAAAGGAGCAAAACGACAATAGAAGAAGATAAAAGAGAATTAATCAATGCAAAACAGCAGGGTAATAAAAGAAACTAGGCGTAGACATGACTTCAGCAGCTTCAGGAAAGACTAAAAGCAAGAGGAAACAGGTGGATCTGTTATTTTTATTCGAAATCACTACCAGCGACAAAGGATTTAAAGTGGAACTGGTGGCTGTTCTCTGACCTGGGTGTATTAAACAAAAAAGCCTCTTAGCCTTTAAATGTGAGTGTGGGACTGACTAACTGAGAAGTTGACCCAGGTGGCCTTCAGGCAGAAAACAGAGTTCACATATTGGTTGTGTATTCTAGAGCTAATATGCTATGAACAAATAGCAAAATTAGTATTTAATATCAAGTACTATGGAATTAGTGTAAAATAGAAATCAGCTACTTTGATGGCAACCCAAGTTTTTGTTACTGTCACAGGTGTAGATTGACATACATTCTGATTTGGACACATAGGGTATAGTTAACTCAGTGGATAAAAAGCAGGGAACTTTTATTTTTGAAAAAACATTTGAACATTACTCACTGGCCTAACAACACAAATGCATGCAGAGAAGGTACAAATTGGTGCAAAAATCACCAGAAATCATGTTCAAACAAATCTTGGTACAAATGAAGCATTTGAAAAAGACTTAATAAAGAACTTAGTTCTGGTGTGCATTTGTTTTTTATAAAAGATGCCCTGTTAGAAAATAGCATCGAAGTAGTACGAGACATTTAAACAACACTTCAGAAATGTAAATGCCTGTTTAAAGTGCTGTTTGTCTTTGTAACTGCTGTAGGATTTAGACGACATGATAGAATTAATAAATAAGCTATGGGACTAATTATCTTATCTTTGGTAGGGAAAGGTCACCTGACTGTAAGTTGAAAAACTTCACATTTTGGATGCAGGGTCTAAACATGTCATCACCCTGGACTGACAGCGCCACCTGGTGTCTTTAGGAAAACCTACAGGTGTGGCTATATGTGAGCAGATTTCTGTACCACTAGATCATAACACATAGGACAGGAACAACAAACAGATAAATATGCTTGAAAAAAGTAGAATAAAGTTATGTTTTTATAAGTCCTAATGACTAAAGACATCTGATACACTACATGACCGAAAGTATGTGGACACCTGCACGCTGCATATGTGGGACTGTTTATTATTAATGATGATTGGGGATAAATTACAACAAAGGGAGCCCCTAAAGCCTTTAAGACAGGCCTTTAAATGATAATTAAATATGGATAATTTCTCATTAATTGACTATATTGTATTCTTTATCATCAAAGAATGAAGCTTACAGAGGAGAGATTATTTTATAAACTAAACATCCCATTTTGTGGCACAAAACTAACCCATAAAAAATGTTTTTTTCCAGTTTAAAGCTGGAGAACTTGTCCTGACCTCAACACACTTCAACAGTCACCTTTGGGATACAACAGAACGACACCAGAAGAGGTCACATTACCTAATAAATGTGAATATACTCTTCATATCGTTCATGATACAGTATGTGTTGTTCTATAGTTCTTGTGTTTTAATAAAAAGGGACTGTAAGAGATTTGTTGAAATCCCAAAATAGATAAAACATATAGAAAACATCAAAAAACAGTCTAGGTATGTTAATTTGTGGAAATATTGCAGGAGAATCTACATGGAACTCTTATCATGTAGTGATATTTTTATTCACACTCTTGTTCCCTAAAATGCTGAATAAATCAAGCATAGAAGACTGTGTTATGCCTAATGCATGCATGTACACATATACAACTAACTGGGCCTTAAACATCACAGAAAATAGGTCTGTCCTTGGTGCTGTTTTTCCAATTAATCATGTAGGTCATGATCATTTGATTATGTGTAAATATGAGTAATCCAACACTAGTTTAAGGAGCACTTAGGTCCACAAACAACAATTCAAATTAAATCCAAATCAGCCTCCCTGTACTATGTGAAGGATGCTGGTTTAATTAAAGTTGTTTCCCAGATAAACAGCATGTTGAGGACAAGGCAGAGCTGTGGTCTCTGATACTCCCACATTCCTGAAAGCAGAGAGCCTCCTCCCCACTTCACGCTTCAGCCCATCACATGAAAGAGTCGACGTCCACACCGCACAGCTGTTCGCAGAGCAGGAGGGGTCAAGCTCGACCGAGGCCTGCACGTCTTCCACTGTGGGAAAACACATCCAACTGTCCACAGGGAGATACCACATTAATAGTGTAGCATTCATTGAAAGCAAATGAACTTTAACAAAGTGCCTCAGTCATTTCTCTTTCTGCAAGATTTATAATTAAATACATTAAACTAAACTATTTGTTTTTTAGTTTATATGAGGTTTTGGTGATTAACTTTTGTTATATTTAAACTTTATGTAGACTGGAACTGTAAAGAAATGTCATGAAAGAAATAAGGGAAGACAAAATGAATTATTCATTATAAGAAAGTGAGTAAGGCTCTTCTAAGTGACATTTTGAAACTGCAAAGTAAAAATGTTGACTCATGATCTCAAAGGTTTTGATACATTTTATTGAAGTGAATGTTTTTTATCTCATCATACATAATTTCTCGGCCATTTCTGTCTTTTCTTGGCAGAAATTTGGCTTCCTACATATGACTCACATAATTTCCATCCTCATCCTGCGATACAGTGACTCATGCCCTGTACAGTTGCATCTTATTTAATCAGGGTTTTTTTGTATTTTGTTTGCATCACCATCGTATATATTTCACTTCAGCCTTTTGTTGCTGTAAACCTAATTTCTGAAACTCACAACTCTGCTTTGTCACAAACAGCTTGTTGAGCTTGTTAAACACCTTTTCCACATGAGCTGAAGAGTTAAGAGTATCTGTTGGTCCTGTTTCACTCTGCAGAAACTCCCTCCTAACCCCTGGCTTGTCTCTGTGTCTGCAGCTTGTGCATGCTTTTGAAAAAACAGTCTTCAGAGTGACCGTCCAGCCTCACGTTGAGTAATGCTGTGTCAGCACCGGAGCGGCCAAGGTGCACAAGACAGCAGTCGGTCCTGTGACAAAGCAGAGCACTAATGACTCGCTCCCTCTTTGTGTTCCCCTCCAACTTTTCACTCTGACTAAAACAGGCAGTCGCTCAGCCACCTCTCTCCCTCTCTCTCTCTCTGTCTGTCTCACTCCATCTCACTCTGCCATTCCCCCCACTGTGCTCTGCTTAAGCAAATTATTCTCTATCTCTGCAAGCGTGCTCTGCAGAGTCGGTCGTGTTGCCGTGTGGAAGTCCGTACAGCTGTAAAATGAGGAAGGAGAACAGGCTGATTCGCTGGATCTGGTGGATTGTGATTGTGACAGCTTTGTTTTTCCTGGGCTTCATCATAGGTAAGCCGTGGAAACACAACAGAAACTTAAAGTGACCACAGGGTGATACAGACTTGGTGCTCTGCTGTTTGTTCTTAACGACAAGCCACT